CTCAACATAAAGGAAATAAAAATGTTCATAACTTCTCTAGTAAGGTTCATCATGATAAACAGAAATCCTGGATTTCTGTTTATAAAAGAAATCCTTGATTTCATTTTACTTGGATCCACAATAAACTGACATGGAAGCAATCTAGAAATCAAATTACATATTACATTGAACAAATCTGTTGTAAAAGATTTCTTTAAAGTGTTAAAAAAAAAAAACAAAAAACAAAGATGTCACTCTGAAGGCTAAAGTAAGCCTGCCCCAAACCATGGTATTAAATCACCTCATATGCTTGTGAAAACTGGACAGTGAATAAGGAAGACCAAAGGAGAATTGATGCCTTTGAAATATGGCTCTGGCAAATAATATTGAATATGACATGGACTGCCAGAAGAATGAACAAATCTATGCTGGAAGAGGTACAGCCAGAATGTTCCTTAGAAGTAAGGATGGCAAGACTTCATCTCACCTCTTTGCATGTGTTATCATGGGGACCAGTCCCTACAGAGAGACATCATGCTTGGTAGAGTAGAGGGTCTGCAGAAAAGAGGAAGACCTTTGCGGTGCAGTGAATTATTTAATGTCTCTTCAAGCCATAATCTTTGTAAACTTCCACCAAACAATATTTTTGCCCTGATAATAAGGGGAGATGGGAGAAGATGCTGACAGAATTATGATTCAACTGTGAGTGGTTAGCAGGGAAAATTGTGATTGTATTATTGTTGTTAAGTGCCATATAGTCAGTTCGGATTCATAGTGATCCTATGAACAACAGAATGAAACACTGCCCGATATTGAACCATCCTCACAGTTGTTGTTACATTTGAACCCACTGCTGCTGCCACAGTGTCCATCCATCTAGTTGGGGGGTCTTACTCTTTTTGGCTGACCCTCCACTTTATTAAGGATGATGTTCTTTTCTGAAGACTGGTCCCTCCTGATAACATGTCCTAAGTATGAGAAACAAACTTTTACCTACGTGGCTAATGAGCATTCTGGCTTCAGTTTTCAGTTGTTCCAACACAGATTTGTTTGTTCTTCTGGCAGTCCATGGTACTTTCAATATCCTTCTCCAACACCACTATTCAAATACATCATGGGTGAGCATATACCTATTTGCATCATTGCTCTTATTTTTATACCAAGTAGTAGGATTACTTGGTCATATGTAGGCGGGTCCCAGTTTCTCCACACTCTAACCCGCATTTGTTTTGTTTTGATTTTAATTCTGCTATTAATGCTCATTGTTGTTTTGATTTGCACCTCTCTAATGGTCTGCAAGCTCTGGTAGCATAGTGGTTACGAATCGGGCTGTGAACCGCAAGGTCAGCAGTTCAAAACTACCAGTTGTCCCACGGGAGAAAGACGAGGCTTTCTGCTCCCGTAAAGATTTACAGCCTCAGAAACCCTGTACAGGGTCGCTATGGGTTGGAACTGACTCCATGGCACTTAACTACAATGGTCTGTGAAGGAGCTCTGGTAGCGTAGTGGTTACGAATCAGACTGTGAACTTCATGGTCAGCAGTTTGAAACTACTAGCTACACCGCGGGAGAAAGATGAGGCTTTCTGCTCCCATAAAGATTTACAGCCTCGGAAACCCTGTACAGGGTCGCTATGAGTCGGAACCTACTCCACAGCACATCACAACACAACAACAGTGGTCTGCAATTTGAGCCTACCAGCTGCTCCATGGGAGAAAGATGAGGCTTTCTGTTACCACAAAGATTTAAAAGCCTCAGAAACCCTATACTTGAGTCAAAATCAACTCGACAGCACTTTAAAAAAAACAACAGCTAATGGTCACAAGCATTTTTTACTGTGTGTTGGCTGCCTGAATGTCTTCTTTTGATGAGGTTCATGTCTTCTGCCCACTTTTTAACTGGATTATTTGTTTTCTTGTTAAGGTGTTGAAGTGTTCTATACATTTTAGAGAGTAGTCCCTTGTCTGATATGTCATTGCCAAAAATTTTTCCCAGTGTATGGGCTCTTTTGGTGAAACCTTTAATGCACATAAGTATCTAATTTTGAGGAGATCCTAGTCATTTATTTGTCTTCTGGTGTTTGTGCATTTTCAGTTATGTTTAATAGTGTATTTATTTCATGTATCAGAGTCTCTGAGGAGCTCTGGTAGTGTAGTGGTTACGAGTCAGGCTGTGAACCTAAAAGTCAGCAGTTCAAAACTACAAGCCATTCCGTAGGAGAAAAATGAGGCTTTCTGCTTCCATAAAGATTTGCTGCCTCAGAAACCCTCTACAGGGTCGCTATGAGTCAGAACTGACTCCACAGCATACCACCACCAAGTTTGTCCCAATTTTTCCATTGATGGTCTTTGTAGTTCTAGGTTTTACATTTAGATCTTCAATCCATGTTGAGATCATTCTTGGATATGGTGTGAGATATAGATATGGGTCTTGTTTCATTCTTCTGCAAATGGATTTACAGTTTTGCCAGCATTTGTTGAAGAGACTATCTCCTTCCCACTTAATATGTTTAGATCCTTTGTTGAAGATCAACTGAATGGATTTACTTCTGAATTCTCAATTCTGTTTTACTGATGTATGTGCCAGTACCAGGCTGTTTTGACTACTGTGGCTATGTAGTAGGTTTTGAGATCAGCTAGTGAGAGACCTCCTGCTTTGTTCTTCTTTAGTAATGCTTTGCCTATTTGAGGTCTCTTTCCTTTCTGTATAAAGTTACTTTTTCCATCTCTTAAAAGAATGATGTCAGAATCTAGAATGAGATTGCATTATATCTATAATTGCCTTGGATAGTATTGACATTTTCACAATGTTGAGTCTTCCTATCTATGTGTACGGTATAGTCTTCCATTTATGTAGGTCTCTTTTGGTTTCTTTTATTGGTGTTTTATAGTCTTCTTTGTATAGGTCTTTTGTTGCTCCGGTTAGATTCATTTCTAAGTATTTCATCTTTTGGGTGGTTATTGTAAATGATATTGTTTTCCTAATTTATTCTTCTTGTTGTTGTGAAGTGCCATCGAGTGGGTTCCAACCCATAGCAACCCTGTATAGCTGGTGAGCTTGAACTGCTGACCTTGCAGTTCAAACGGCTTTGCAGTCTGGCACATTAACCCACAGTGCCACACCAGGACTCTTCTCTTTATTAGTATAAAGGATTCAATGTGGGGTGTTTTTTTTGTAAATTATTTAATCTTTCAATGAGTTCCAATAATTTTCTTGCTGAGTCTTTTAGGATTTTCTTTATATAGCATTAGATCTTCTGCAAATAGAGTTTTATCTCTTGTTTGCCACTATGGTGGTGGTGGTTATGTGCCGTGGAGTAAGTTCTGGCTCATAGCGACCCTGTACAGGGTTTCCGAGGCTGTAAATCTTTACGGGAGCAGAAAGCCTCATCTTTCTCCCGTGGAACAGCTGGTAGTTTCAAACTGCTGACCTTGCATTTCGCAGCCCGATTCAGATGCCTTTAATTTTCCTTTCTTGCTTTATAGCTCTGGCTAAGACTTCTAATACAATATTGAATAAAACTGGTAATAAAGGACATCCTTATCTGGTTCCTGTTCTCAAATGGAATGGCTTCAGTTTCTCTCCATTCAGCGTCATGTTGGCTGTTGGTTTTGTATGCCCTGAATTATGTTGAGGAATAACACTTCTATTCCTATTTTATTGAATGTTTTAATCAGGAATGGGTTCTTTTTCTGTATCAGTTGTTATGACCTTTTGATTTTTTTCCCCTTTGTTTTATTTATGTGGTGGATCACATTGATTGTTTTTCTAATATTGAGCCATCTCTACATACTTGGTATGAATCCCACTGGGTCATGATATATTCTTTTTTTAATTTGTTGTTGGATTTTGTTAGGTAGTGTTTGGTTTTTTGGTGTGTTTTTTTTTATTTTGAGAACTTTTGCAACTGTCTTCATAAAAGATGGTGATGGTGGTAGTGATATGTCATTGAGTCAGTTCTGACTCATAGCGACCCTGTATAGGGTTTCCGAGTTTGTAAATTTTTATGGGAGCAGAAAGCCTTGTCTTCCTCCCACAGAATGGCTAGTAATTTTAAACTGCTGACCTTGATGTTAGCAGCCCAACTTATGACCACTACACTACCACAGCTCCTTTCATGAAGGATATTGGTCTGTAATTTTCTTTTCTAGTGATATCTTTGCCTGGTTTTGGTATGAAGGTTATTATACTCACTTTGTTAGATGAATTTTGTGTTCTTTTTAATATTCTGGACTAGTTTAAATAGAATTAATGTCAGTTCCTCTATGAATTTTTGGTAAAATTCACTAGTAAATCCATCTGGGCTTTTTTGTTGGGAATACCTAAGTGATTTTTTAAAGCAATTTTGATGACATGAGATCTTTTTACCTCTCAGACTTTTAGAGCCTTGTTGTTGTTGTTAAGTACCGTGGAGTCGGTTCCGACTCATAGTGACCCTGCATAGGGTTTCCGAGGCTGTAAATCTTTACAGGAGCAAAACACCTCATCTTTCTCCCATGGAACTTCTGGTAGTTTTGAACTGCTGACCTTGAGGTTAGCAGCCCGATTCGTAACCACTACACTACCAGAGCTCCTATGGAGCCTTAGCCCTATATAAAGTTTGACTTCATGGCCCACACTCTTAACCTTGCTTACTCGTATTAATAAATGACATCTAATATTAGGGAGCCAATAAGAATGTCTGTGGTTATCCTATCATCCAACTTTCTACCTAGTCAAAGAACTTTCTACCTAATCAAAGAATGTTTCTTGTCAAGAACCCACACATAGTGCTCCTAGACTTCGGAGGTACCTTTCAATCATTATAACTAAAAGAAAAATCTATATTTTACTTGTAGTCTTATTATAGTTAAATATGGTATTTCCATTAGATTTTTTAAATATTGAAAATAGCTCCCTTTGAGGAAATCTAGAAGTCTAGGAATCTGGGTTAAGGCTGCAATTATGAGTACCCTAGAACACAACAGAAGTTTAAGCTTTGTCTCAGTATTTTTATTCTTTTTCTTTTTCTTTCATTACAGAGATGTGATCAAGTGGCTGGTCAAAGTAATAACTGAAGATGGATTGACTGAGTCCCCAAATGGAAATCAAATCACTTCAGAAACAGGAATCTTGAAGGCCAGCAGTAGCCACCTTTTTCCCCAGCCCAACTTGGCAAACACTAGTCAACTGTAAGGAGCAGACTATTGAGATTTCTGGTTTTAGAAAACAGCACTACTTCCTAAGAGTCACTAAAACTTTTAATTCCCTAAAATTAAAAGTTCTGATAACATAGCTTTTCTGATAACATAGCTTGATTCTTAGTAAAGGCTATATTGTTTTGATTAAAGACTGCATTCAAATATAGAGCAAAGGTAGGTACTTTTTCCCTAAATGAATAGGACTTCACTAAGTGAATACACACTTAAAAATAGGAATGGCACAAAAGCTAGAGAATACTGCCCTCCCTTTCCTAGGTTCTGAGGGACATAAAAGGGTGTCAGTTCCTTATCACTTTGGGTGTCCACTGACAGCAGAGAAGCATGGTGGGTAGCAGGTGTTCTGTTTGGTAGCTTCCAGTTCTCAGGGATGTGATCTGTCTCCTCCAATGTGGGGAGAACAGCAGTTCAACCTTCAGGTATCAGTAAATTATAACAGAAGTGGCTCAGGTCAGGCTTAGGTCAGACTGCATTAGGAAGACGTTCATGGCATTTCTTTTATAGGGTTGAAAGTGCTCTTGGCATTTTGTTTTTTATAGATGTCAGGATTTTAAGGGCTTGGACTACCCTTGTACAAATAACATACTATCCCATGTCAGTCATGTCCCTAAAATATGACATGTGAAATGTCATGCTTCAAATATAACACTTGTGCCTATAATTCAGAGCGCTGTATTAGTAATCTAGTGGCAACAACCTGACTTTCATATCAGGCCTATGAGCTTCAGTTAACTTAGGAAACTACCTTCAGATTTCCTGAGAATGGAGCCCTTTCTTCCATCACAATTAGTACATGTTAGAAAAGGCTGGTGTGGCACTGTAGACCAAGCACTGGACAGTTAACCACAAAATTGGTGGTTCAAATCCTCTGGCAACTCTTCAGAAACTCTTTATCGGGTCACTATGAGTCAGAACCAACTCAACAGCATACAACAGAAAAGACGGCCATCAATTAGACCACAGAGTCAATAGCCATTTTTAAACATAAATGAGAACCTTGAGCGTCAATTTAAATATAAATGAGAAAGTAGAAATAACACCATTAGAACAGAAAAAAGAGAATGTTGCTACCATGTAAAGAATGTAACCAATTTCATTGATCATTATATGTAAAATCTGTCAAATAGGAGTACGTTTATTTGTGAATATTTTCAGCAAAAATAAAGTTGAATTAAGAAAAAGAAAAGGCTGGTATCAGGCCAGATTCACTTTCCTGATGAAAGGGGAGGTTCCTTTGGGGTGTCTCAGATTCCTTTGCTGCCACAGCCTGGCTCTCTCCCATAGTTAGGTCTTACGAGAAAGGTTCAGGTTCCACAAGTTCTGAGACTGAATTTAGTAAGAAACCGCTGAGAAGGTCTCTCCTGTATGGCAAATGTGTTTTCTCCTGATTTGAAGAAATTCAAATAATTTTAATTCATTCTGGGCCTCCGTTTCTTCAGCTAGAAAGTAGGGAAGTGACAGATTAGATAGATGATCTTTCAGGTTCTCTCTATCCTTATGACTACATGGTTCTGTTTTATAAATTTAAAAGCAGCTCAACTAAAGTTCCTGAGTGATGCAGATAGGATGATCTGGCTAAAGGACTTTAAATAGAGGAAACTGAGAAATGAGAGTGTGCTACAGTGTGGTTTACAAGTTCCTCCTTTAGTAGTCTCTGTTTTGTACCATTGGGGCTCCTCCCAGCCCTCAGTGTGCCTGCTGCCAGCCCACCCCCCTCATGTGTGTTCTGTGCTCTGGACTCAGGATTGCCTGCCAGCTACAGAGAATGCTGTCTATAGCCGTGGAGGTGGACAGGACCCCTACCTGCAGCTCCAATAAAATTGCTGAGATGATGTTTGGATTTGTGCTGGACATTCCTGAGAGGAGTCAGAGGTGAGTCTTGGTTATATTTTGTATTTTATGTATTTAAGTGGTTTTTCTTAAGACAGCTTCCTTGTCTATCGTGCCTGCTAAGGAACAGAACTTCGAAAGAGGACGTTCCAATTAGTTCAATTGGGAAGAAAAGCAGAGGGATTATTCCTGTCTCTTTAACCTTTTAAAAGAAGATTCTTAACTAATGGTTATTATTTTCAACTAAGGCATGATATCTTGGAAAGAAGCAGAATACTTTAAATAGAACCTAAATGTTTCTACCTTAACTATTTATGTAACCACCTAATTTATCCTTCAAGATTCAGCAGTTAAGTGCCAATACAGTACAATGGATCACTTTTGTATAGCCTTCCAGCCATGGTCTTATAACTCCCAGCAAATTCTTGGATAGGACTATGCACATAAGATGCTTATGGCCCACCAAGGGGACTGGATAGCTTGTCAGTAAAGTAAATAAGGTACATAACACCCTTGTGGAGATAAAACCAGACAAATAAGGCATATGCCCTAGCAAGGGGTTTGGTCAGTTTTGCCATCCCAATAGGCTTAAAATGAGCCATCCCAGAGATGAAAAGAGAGGACCTCAATACCACCAAAAAGAAGAGATAGGAGCACAGAGCAGCCTTTGGACCTGGAGTACCCGTGCCAAGAACCTCCTAGACCCAGGAACCACAGAAAGAAAAACCTGTAATACTAGAGATGGCACGAGATGGCAAGAAACAGTGACTGAAATGTCCCAACAAAACCAGACTAGCAGAAGACGACACCATGGGCTTCCCAGACCACAGAACCAGGCAGCTGCAGTGAGCATACTGGATCACAGAGTGAGATAGCTGAGTGCCCTCAAATAAGAGGCTTCCGAGGGGAATGGGCACTTGTTCAAGGAGCTAGGCACACCGACCCACAGAGCAAGAAAACTGAATGCATTCAGGCCTAGACTTTCTGGCGTAGTAGGATGCCGGGGGTAACTTACTGATGGAACTAAAGAGCTTTGTAACACTTGCCCAAGCAGAGCAGAGCCCAGGCTGAGGAGGCAAGGGCTGTCCTGATTGAAGAACTGTATCTTGAGTTATTCCTGATCCAGAATTATAACCTGTTAACTTCCCTAATAAACCCCATAACTGTTAGTATGGTCTGTGGGTGCTGTGTGGCCACTGCAATGAATTATCGTACCCAGCCGAAAAGTAGAGAGTGCCCTGTGAGGGACAGCTGGTATCAGAATTGGTCAAAAACAGGTTGGAAGGTGGAGGTCATACGAATCGGTTTTTGACTGATGCTGATCTTGATTCTCTCTCCTCCTTGGGAAATTAGTCAATGAGATCAATGTTGTCATGCCACCATTTTGACAACCACCTTCTCCCCTGATCCTCAGCCATAGGCTTAATGGGAAAATGAGACGAGTGCATCCAATATTAGGGTGAGGAGAGAGTACTCAAGTATCAATAGGTTTGAAACCTGTAGAATAAGCCCAGATAGTAAGAATAAGGAATTCGGGTTTTCCAAGTATGAATTAGTCTCCAAGCAAGGATTTCATTAGGAAGAGATGAAGAAAAATTTCTTGGCAAGGATCAGCTTCCTTGAACCAGTAGCTTAAGAATCCAAGAGATTCCAAATAAGCTAGAATAAATAAACATTAATTAAGAGTTACCGGTACAGGAAAGAACTATGAGAGAGCCATTGTGCAGTGGTGACCCTTGGGGATGTGATGTTGTGGGTTTGTCTGCACTGCACAACTGTCAGCTCTGCCTCTGCTTCTCATCCCACTCCCTAGTTCCCAGTGGGAGCCAAGACTATTCATGTTAAAATTTACTTATTTGTTTAAAATCTATTAAAGTAAAATTTCATATCAAATAGTATTTTAATAAGGGCTTAATTAAAATGTACTGGTGTGGCACTATGAGACAATGCACTGGACCACAAGGTCAGTTTGAGCTGCAAGGTTGGCAATTCAAATTCACCAGCCATTTCTTGGGAACCCTAGACAGGGAACCCTAGTCAGTGGAACTGACTCAATAGCACTTAAGAACAACAACAAAAGCACTACCCGGGCCCTCTACAACAAAGATATGAGACCCAATAAAACAGACAAATGACAATCCTGGCACCCTGAACTTCAGAAGAAAGGTTAGAGAAGTGGACTGAATGCTTGCTGGGAGGAGAAGCCGAGCAGGAATGCTGAGAGAGGGAGACTGACTGGTAAACGGCTGGTCAGACGCCACTTGACCATCCCATAAACAGTTTTGTTAACAGGAGGAGGCCTGACAGAGCAGATTCATACAGGTGACTAGAAAGATGTAGTTTCTTCTTTTTTCCCACATTCCCCTGGAGACCAGCGGTGTGGCCAGCTCTGACCCTCAACACCCCCAATGCAAACCCTGCTCTCCAGGAGTTTGGAGCCACACCAGGGTGAGTTGAGAGCCAGCTGCACCACTTTGATGTGCCGATTTGGTGCCTGGATCAGGTGGGCTCAGATCCAGACCTACCAAATCTGCAGAGCCACCAGACCAGCATTTAACCAGTCACCCTGCTCCCAGCTTCCCTGTGGTCCTAACAGACACTGAAACCAGCTCCCTCAAGGACCCCCATGAACTACTTCTGGATAAACACAGATAACACTAAAGACCAATAGGAACTCTATCTAGGGTCAGAAACTCTGTCATCACATCCCTCCCACACCCACCTAGTGAGCTCCTTGAATTGCAGGAGCCCATCAGAGATTTCTCCCTTCCAGGTCCAACAACTACACTGTTTGTTTTTACAAATATAACAGCCCCCACAGTGCCCTGGTGACAACAGGCAAAAATTTTAGTTCACATAAAGAAACAAAAGAGAATGCCTCAAAAAAAAAAAAAAAAGACCTGTATACAGAGACAGAAGAAATTTCTAAGGAAAAATGGAACTAACTGAAAAAGAATTCAGAAGAATGATGTTTTGGTACCTTCAGTAGATTAACAGAAAGATTGAGGAAAGCAAGGAAAACACAGAAAAACTTTAGAAGAATTCAGGGAAACGCTACAAGAACAAACAGACAAAATATATGGAAATTTTGAAACAATATAAAACCTGCAATTAGAAATTCAGAAGATTAATACTAAAATTTCAGAAGTGGACAATACATTGAAAGGGCAAAGGAGAAGATTTGAAACAGTAGAAGTCCAAATTAGTGATCTTGAAGATAAATCTCTCAATACTAGTAAGCTAGAAGAACAATCAGAAAAAAAGAATGGAAAAATCCAAAGAAAGCCAAGAGTTATGTGGGACACCATAAAGAGCAACAACTTACTGATGACTAAAATTCCAGAACAGGAATAAACAGCAAAAACCAGAGAGAAAATTGTTGAAAACTAACATCATGAAAGATGAGAAGATAAGCATACAAGAAGTTGAACAAACCCCAACAGGACAGATCCTCAAAATCTCCGAGACATACCATATAATCAGACTTTCCAACATCAAAGACAAGGAAAGAATCCTGAGAGCAATTCAGGAAAAACAAAAAGTTACCTACAAAGGAGAACCATTAAGACTAAGTTCTGATTTCTCAGCAGAAACCATGCAGGCAAGAAGGCAATGGGATGACATATATAAAACTCTGAAAGAAAACAATTGCCAACCAAGAATTATATCCTCAGCAAAAGTGTCCCTCAGATACGAAGGGGAAATTAGAACATTCCTGATAAACAGAAATTTAAAAAATTTGTAATGACCAGATCAACTTTATAAAAGGTGTTCTTTGGACTGAGAACCATCAACAATAGTAGACAACAACCTGAGATTACCATACATGACAATACCACCCAGAATTCAATCCAGATATAGAAGGATTTAAAGTAAAACAAACCTACAAGGCTGGAAATAGGAGACCAGACATATCAATGTATGATGACGTCAACTACAAAGCAAAAAAAAGGGAATAGTGTGAATACAGAAGTTCCAAATGACAGGGAACTCAAGTAGATTTCAAGATAAAACAGACTGTTGTTGTTGTTGTTGTTGTTAAGTGCCGTTGAGTCGGGTCCGACCCATAGCGACAGACTGTAGCAGGGGAAAATTAATGACAGGGTAACTTCAAAGAAAAATAATACATCTGCACATAAAAGAGGGAAATCACAAAGATTTAGTAAACATTAATACAACAGAAATGAAAATTAAAAGAAAACTCACAAGCAAAATGAACTCAGCATAGAAATTGTGTGGAACAAAGAATCCAGCAGCACCACACACACACACACAAACAAAACCAGAGAAAATGACAGCAGTCCATTCAGACCTATTGATAATTAATACACTGAATGTAAATGGATTAAATGTTCCAGTCAAGAGACATAAAGAGCAGAATGGATAAGAAAACAGGATCCTTCAATATGCTGTCTACAAGAGACATATCAAGAAGATGGAAACAGTCTGAATATCCATATCAACAAAAAGAATGCTTACATAAACTCTGATACATACACACAATGGAATACTACACAACACTGAAAAATAATGATGAATCTGTGAAACACCTCACAACATGGCTGAACCTGTAGGACATTATGCTGAGTGAAATTAGTCAATCACAAAAGGATAAATATTGTATGAGATCGATGTTGTAAAAAATGTAAGGTTTTCTTGTTAAAAGAAACTATCTCTGTGATTACACACAGGCTAGATTGTAGACACATGTTAGCATAGGTGACAGGGAAGACAATATACAATAAGAGGGAGGTTAGCAGAGGAAAGATGAAGGTGGCAGGAGACACAGGAAAGAATGCAATAAAGCAAAAAGAGAGAAATACTGTTAACTGTTGGCACATGGAGGGGATTGCAACCATATAATGTAGCAAAGTATATGATTATTTGAATGTAAAATTGATGATATGTGCTGTAAACCTTCACTCAACTGACAATAAAAAATTGAAAAAATAATATTCTTAGATTAAAATAAACATTTATTGAGCCCCTACAATCACTTGTCTATTAATTATCTCGATTATTTTCCTAATAATCCCTATTTA